TACATTACAATGAATTATATGAATGATAAAGAAAACCATACCATTCACAATAGCATCAAAAAATGAAATTCTTATGAATAAATTTAACTAAGGAGGTGAAAAATCTGACCACTACACATTCCAAGACTTTAATGAAAGACATTTAAGAAGACACAAAATACAGGCATGCCTCATTTTATTGTGCTTCATTTTATTGCATTTTGTGGATATTGGTGTGGGTTTTTTGTTTTTGTTTTTTACAAATCGAAGGTTTGTGGCAACCCTACCCTGCATTGAATAAGTCTAGAGACACCATTTTCCCAACAGGCTTAGATGATGATTAACATTTTTTAGCAATAAAGTATTTTTAAATTAAGGTTTGTATATTTATTAGACATAATGCTATTAAACACTTAATAGACTACAATATAGTGTAAATATGACTTTATATGCACTGGGAAACCAAAAATTCATGTGACTAGTTTTATTATGATAATAACTATATTGCAGTGGCTTGCAATTAAACATGCATAACTTCTAGGTGTGCCTGTAAATGGAAAGATATCCCATGTTTATGAATTGGAAGAATTAATATTGTTAAAATTTTCATACTATCTAAAGCCATCTGTACATACAATAAAAATTCCATTAGCATTTTTAACAGAAATAGAACAAATCATCCTAAAATTTGTATGGGATCATAAATAGCTAAAGCAATCCTAAGAGAGAAGACCAAGCTCGAGGCATCACAATTTCTGGTCACTATATTACAAAGCTATAGTAGTCAAACAGTATGCTATTGGCATGAAAATAGACACCTAGACCAACAGAACAGAATAGAGAGCCTCAAACAAATCCCCTTATATATGGTCAACTAATATTTAACTAATTTTTACTCAATGGGGAAAGGTCCATCTCTATAATAGGTAATATTGGGAAAATTGGATATTTACATGCTATTAAATATTTTAATGACTACTATCTTTCACCACTTACAAAAATTAAAATGAATTAATGACTTAAACATAATACCTGAAACTGTATCTCTTAGAAGAAAGCATTGGGAGTAAGCTCCTTAACATTGGGCTTGGCAATTAGGTACATTTTTTGATGTGACATCAAAAGCACAAGCATCAAAAGCAAAAATAATGAAGTGGGGTTATATCAAACGAAAAAGACTCTGTATAAGATAAGAAATATTGAAAGAAATGAAAACACAACTTATGGAATGTGATAAAATATTTTAAAATCATATATTCAATAAGGGGTTAATATCCAAAATATGTAAGGCACTTATACAATTCAATAGACAAAAACCAAACAATCTGATTAAAAATGGGCAGAGGATCTCTGAATGACATTTTTCCATAGAAAATAACAAATGACCAACAAGTACATGAAAAAATGTTCAGCATCACTAATCGTCTGGGAAGTGCAAATAAAAACTACAATGAGATAATCACCTCATCTCTAGTATACTATTACAAGCTAACATTAAAAACAAGAGATAAGTGTTCATGAAGATGTAGAAAAAATGAAACCCTTATGCATTGTTGGTGGGAATGTAAATTGGTATAGTCACTGTGGAAAAAAATTCAAAAAATTCAAAATAGATCCTTCATTTGATCCAGCAATTCCACTTCTGGGCATATATCCAAATAGGATCTTGAGTTATCTTCATTCCTATGTACATTGCAGCATTATTTACAGTAGCCAAAATGTTAAAATAATCTATGTAGTGGATTATTATTTATGAGAAAGAAGGAAATCTTGCCATTTGAGGCAACATTTATGGACCTTGAGGACATTATGCTAAGTGAAATAAATCAGATAGAGAAAGAAAAATTAGTGCATGATCTTACCTCTATGTGGAATATAAAATGACAAAATCACAAAAATAGAGAGTAGAATGGTGGTTCCCAGGGGCTAAGGGTTGCGGTGGTGGAAATAGGCAGATGTTGGTCAAAGGGTACAAATTTCCAGATATAAGATGATTAAGTTCTGGCATCTAATATCCAGCATGGTGATTATAATTAATAATATTATATACTTGAAAGTAACAACAGAGCAGATTTAAAATGTTCTTACTACAAAAAAGAAATGATAATTATGTGGAGTGATAGAGGTGTTAACTAAGCCTACTGTGGTAATCATTTCACAAAATATAAGTTTTTCAAATCAACATGAATATCTTAAACTCACACACTGTTATATGTCCATTATAACTCAATAAAGCTGGAGAAAAATAAATAACACTCCCTGCCTCACTGTTTCTCCTTTACTTCACTCTGAGAGATGCAGAGTGACTGCTGCAGTTGATGAGTTTGAGAAGACACTGGGCAGAGGTGGCTCAGTCTCGTCTGTCTTCTCTTTTCAGATCTCCCTGTCTGCAGAGAGGGTGCAATCTGGTCTGCTCTCTCACCCATGCAGTACATTTAGCAAGGCAGGCTCTGCTTCTGTGGGGGGAGGCCTGTGGTTGTCCAGAGCAGCCTGTGACTAGGCAGGTAAGTTTGATTTTGGGGTGCAGAATTAGGAAGCCCAGTTCATTATTAACTTAAGTCAGGTTAGTTGCTGTATTGATAATAAAGATAATACTTTGATCTCCAATTATCAGCTTCCCCTGTCTGCCTTCACCTAGTTATGAACTTGCTCAGGTAATAAGAGACATGTAATGTATTGAGTGGATAATATCCCAATATTATGGTGTACATATTAAGCAATATTTAGTTTGAGAAGGTGAAGGAGGGACATTTGGGTTGGTGTTAGAAACCAAAATTCTTATCTATTATAAGGATATTGATGATGTCTAAAATAGAGAAATCAAATAATAGGATACTAATTAAAAATAGGGAGAGAATTACCCCCCAAGGAAGGGTGGTTGTCTCTAGACTGCCAGGATGGCAGACTGGATGGAAATGGATCATAGAGTTATTTCATCATAAGCACTTTTATCACTACTATCATTTGATTTTTTAACTATGTGCATGTATTGAATTTTTAAAAATACTTACATGATAAAAATGAAGGACAGCTGGTAGCCTATTCTTTAGAAGTGATTTTGGGAGTGTTCTGTCACCTTGACTAAGATCAGAACATCGATGACATTCAGTGACTTTTGTTGACATTCACAGGATGAGGGAATCTCTTGAGGGAAGAATTCATGACAGTGCTGATACAGTTTATTGGAATGTATGGCCTCTGTTTCTCTGAGCTCTCTTCTTCTGCCCTGCTGCTCTCTCTCACAGACTTCTCCATCCGACCAGCTGTAACCTACTTTTACACTATTTAGACAAAGAAGGCTTCGTGCCAATAGTTACATCAATCATATTGGCTACAGAAGGGCAGAGTGTACCGTGTGTCCTTGCACCTGCTCATGTATCTTGGCTTGATTAGCATTCCCAGGCTCAGAGTCCTTGACATCTTGATTAGGCTCATGCCAGAGTAGCATTTGGTCATTCTGGTGTATTGATAACAAGGCCTCTCTGCTCCCATTGGCCTTGACTATCCGGGGACCTGGTGTGGTTCCCACAACCTCATTGTTTTATTTTGCATTTTTTTTCTTGGGCATCTTTTTACATTTTTATTAGCCCTATTCTTTTTGTGTTAAGTCCATATTCACATATTTTTATTTGTGGGGTTTTCATTTTTTATTGTTTTTAAGAGTTCCTCATATATAAAGAATGTTGTCATTTATGTCTCAAATATTTTTTATAGTTTCTCATTTATCTCTGCCATAAAGAAACTTAAAACTATCAGTTTTGTCTTGGTTTTATGTTATGCTTAGAAAAGTCTTTTTGTATCCCAAAATAATATAATATTCCATTTTCATTTTGTATTTTTATAATTTGGTTGGGCTTTGGCTCTTATTGGCACAGTTGAATTTGTTAATGTTTCATCCTATTTATATGATCTTACTTAATGCTGTTTTAAAAAATATTTCCTACCTTATCATACTCTCTTCCTGGATTGCAAAAATTGTATGTTTGTGGGGTGTGTGTGTGTGTGTGTGTGTGTGTGTGTGTATGTGTATAAGTTCAGTGTGACAGTTACTTAGTTACTTATCTTTTTTCCCTGTTAAAGTATTTGTGGGGTTTTTTATTACAAAAAAACACAACATATTAATATATTTCCCCCACCAACATCAAGAATAAAAATAGTATCTACTGATTTCTCCCATGTAAGATATAGCATCGTTGCTTTCAAACCCCTACATGCTTTGTTGTTGTTGTTGTTGTTGTTGTTGTAAAAATATTGATTTAAACTCCAGGTTAGTACTAACATGTATAGATATATCATTAGGCCCTTTAACTTTGCATTTTGTTGTATTGTCATAATATGTTAACAATATTTATGTACAAGAAGGATAGGAAATGCTTGGTATGTGTACCTATGCAAACACACTGATAGAACCAAGCACCAAACATTGTGTACAGCAGTAAAATAGGATGGGTTGGATCCTATCCTCTCTGGCCTCTGCGAAAGGCTAGATTCTGGCACTTTTGAGCAGGCTTTTAGTTTGGTGTTACTTCAGACATATATATTCTTGATATATTTACTCAATATTTTTATTTAGGAAAGAGACTAAACATTAAGAGTGAAAAAAAAAAGTGGAAGAGGAGAACTATTAAGCTTATTTTTTGTGATCCCGGGTAGTACATCTTTGGGTACAAATTTAATGTCCTGAAATAAAAAAATGAGAAATTCTGTAGTTTTCTTTATCTGAATATTTTACTTAGGATTTTCACATCTATTTTAGTATGGAAGGACATATTATAGTTTTGTCATTGTTTTGGCTTTTGTATCATCTTTCCCCTTTTAGTTCAGTTAGTTATATGTCAGTTAATTAATTTTATTTACTTTTCTCCATTTTCAACTACATAATTTAGGAATAACTATTCCTTAATAGTTTGACAGAGTCCCTAAAAATGAAATTATCTATGCCCAGGTCTTTTTTTTTCCTGGCTAGTTTTATTAAAGTGTTCAATTTTTCTTTACTTATTACTTCATTTTTTTCCTCCTAGATCTGTAGAAATTTCCAATGTGTAAATGCTTCTGTTCTGAATTATGACTGTGACATTCAGAAGAAGTGTCATGGACATGGGGTGAGTCATGTTCTCTTTTGACTTGTTCATGAAAGTAATGCTGTTTAATGAGGAATGCCAGTAAGGGTTATGTGAGACTTCCTAAGATTTTTAAAATTTTTGACTGGGGAATTTATATACCTGATACATTTTTATTTTTAAAGAGTATTTATGAATTTGCATGAATTTAGTTCATTCTCTTGGTTTCCATTCTAGAGTTCATGATTTAGAACAACATTCACAATTAACAAAGTAGTGTTTTGTTTGTTTTGAAGGTGTGTAATAGCAATAAGAATTGTCACTGTGAAAATGGCTGGGCTCCCCCAAATTGTGAGTCTAAAGGATACGGAGGAAGTGTGGACAGTGGACCTACATACAATGGCAAGTAATATAGAAGAAAATTAGTGTGATCTCCCAGTGTTGTATGTCAGATATTGGGAATCTTTATACCTCTCCCACACTTTTCACATCACTTATACGTTTGTTGGTTCTGCTTCCTAAATTTTCCACAGATATTCCCATTTCTTTCATCCCTATTAATTACCTTTAATTTCTTGCCTGGTCTTACATAATGGCCTCTTAACTAGACTCCCTCTTTCCTATCTTGCTTCCTAATCCACATTCCACACTATAGATTTCAGTGTTTTCCTTCAAGAATTCAGTTTTGATTATGCTAGTGTCTTGCTTGAAATTCAGTGCTTCTGCATTGCTATTAGAAGTACAAAAATCCTTAACATGGCTTAAATGCCCTGCATGATTTTTCCTAGCTTCACTTTTCCAACCTCATTTCACTATGCTTAAGACATTGTAGCTTCTTTTATTTCCTCTAATAAGCTATTACTCTCTTTTACCTCTGGGCTTTCATACCATATTATATTCACATGAGAGGCCCAGTGCATGAGATTCATGCACTCAGAGCAGGGTTGGAAGAAGAGGGGGGTTCTCTCAGCCTGGCTTGCACCCTCTCACAGTCCTTAGGGAGAGGGCCTAACCTGTCAGTCAGAGACATCCTTAGTGCTGCTGCAGAGGTGGAGAGGCTCCCACCACAGCAGCAGTGCTTGTCAGCTGTGAGCCTGGCTTCTGGCTGAGCAGCACTCCCGCTGTGGGAGTGCACTGACCACCAGGGGGCAGCTCCTGCATTGAGTGTCTGTGTCTGGTGGTCAGTGCACTCCTACAGTGCATGTCATAGTGACTGGTCATTCTGCTGTTCAGTTGATTTGCATATTAGTCTTTTATTATGTAGGATTGTTGGAACTTGGCTAATTGCTACTCAGATTTCAGTTTATACCTTATTTCCCCTAGGAAGTTTTCTCTGACTGCCTAAATGTGAATTAACATGCCCTTCCTATTCTCTTGTTACTATAAGCACTGTCACATACTAATAAGTAATAAGTAATTACTATATATACTACTTATTTTTATTCCCTTATAGACTATGAATGAGCTCTTTGACACCACTATCTTCCTACTGAGAAGATATGCTTTCTTTCTCCTGGATAAATACTAGGTGGAATGGCTGGCTCATAGAGTAGGTTTATATTTAGCATTTTTAGAAACTGCCAAACTGTTTCCCAAAGTGGCTGTACCAATGTACACTCTCTCCAGCTGTATGCGAGGGTTCTAATTTCTCCACATCCTCTCCAATACTTGGTGTGATCAGTTTTTGTAATTTTAGCAATACTGGTAGGAATGTAGTGGTATTTCACTGTGATTTTAATTTGTATTTCTCTAATTACTAGTGATGTTGATCATCATCTCATATGCTTATTTACCATCCACATGTCAGTTTTGGTGACATGTCTATTCAAATCACCTCATTAGATTGTTTGTCTTCCTGAGTTTTGAGAGTTCTTTATTCTGCATACAAGTCCTTTGTATGTAGAATTGTAAGTATTTTCTTTGCTTTGTAAGTGTTTTTTCCAGTTCTGTTTACTTTGACTTTTTTTTTTTCTAGTTTCAGTTTCTTAGATTACTCAGGTAATTGATTTGAGACCCTTTTTCTCTTTCCTTAGTGTATGCATTGTAGTGCTGTCAGTTTTCCTTTAAGAACTACTTTTTTGTTCCCCACACATATCAATTCTACATACAAAGGACTTGTATGTGGGATTTTCCAGAAATTTTAGTGTTATTGATCTCTCATTTATTCCACTATCTTCTGAGAGCATACTTTGTTTGATTTGAATTCTTTTATATTTTTTGACACTTGTTTTATAGCCCAGAAGGTGGTTTACCTTAGTAATTAAGTTTTGTATACACTTGAAAATAATTTGTATTCTGCTATAATTATGTGGAGTGTTTTATAAGTAATTAGTTCCTGTTAATTGACAGATGTTTAAGTCTTTTATATGTTTACTGATTTCTGTATACTTGTTCTGTCAATTATTGAGAGAGGAATATTGAAGTTCTTGGCTATAACAGCAAATATATCTATTTTTCCTGGTAGTTCTATTAGATTTTGCTTTATATGTTGTGAAGCTCTGTTATTAGGTACATAAACATTTAGGATTATTCTGTTCATTTTATATGTTGGCCCTATATTATTAAAAATAGTTCTCTTTATATCTGGTAATATTCTGTTATGAAATTAAATATTAATATCGTTACTCCAGATTTATTTTTTTTAGTCAGAATGGAAAATATATTCTCATCCTTTTGCTTTTAATCTATAGGTGTCCCCCCAAAATGTATACATAACAGTTGATAGCTCAATTTTGAAAATGAAATGTATTTTAATAAACATTGCTTTTATAATTTTATGCAAAGTGTGTGTATATGTTTTTTGGGGGACACCCTATATTTGTGTCTTTATATTTAAAGCAGATTTCTTGTAGGCTGCATATGGTTGGGTCTTGCTTTTTTATCTAGTTTGCCAATTTCTGCCTTTTGAGTGAGTTCATCTGAATATATTTAATTAGATTATATCTTTGGGTTTAGAGCTACCATATTGATATTTATCAAAATTTCTTTTCATGTGATATTGTATCACTTTAGTATATTTCCATTTATCTCTCTCTGCCTTTTGTGGTATTGATATACTTCTGTATACACTATGAATCCTACAATACACTGTTACTATTTTTGCTTTAAATAGTTGATTATTTTTTGGAGATATTTAATAGAAAAAGTCTTTATATTTTCTCACATAATTACTATTTCTGTACTCTTCATTTGTGTGTGTGTGTGTGTGTGTGTGTGTGTGTGTGTGTGTGTGTATGTGTGTGTGTTGTGTAAAATCACATTTCTGTCTGCTATCATTTAATTTCTGCTTGTGGTACTTCTTTTCATATTTCTTATAATGCAAGTCTACCTGTGACAAATATTTTAGCTCTTGTATATCTGAAAAAGCATTTTGCCTCAAATAATAACTGGGTAAAATATTCTCGGGTGAAGTTTTATCACCATTTTACTTCTTCAAGGATGTTCCTACATTGTCTTCCAGCTTACATTGTTTTTCCCATTTTTTTTTTTTTGTATATTCTGTTTGTAATGTGTGTTTTTACCCTCTAAGATTTTCTCTTCATCTCTGATTTTTAGTATTTGATTATAATGTGCCTTGGCATACTTGAAATTTGTTAAACTTGTTTGATTTGTGCCTTCATAGGATTTTTCAAATTTTGGCCATTTTGTCTTAAAATTTTTTTAATAATAATTAGGTGCTTTATTTAATTATATGCACAGATATGTCATATGTAGTACATTTAGACATTAATTGATTTTCAGTAAAGAATTTTTTTTCTCCTGACTCTTCTAAATCCCAGAATCTTTTTAATACCAATGTTGTATGCTTTAATCAAAATTTTGTCTACTGATTAGTAGGTATGAAATTATATAATCAACCTTGCTTTACTCTTTCTATATTTTTAATTGGGTTGAATGTTGTTTCATGTAATGTCATACAACTTATAACAGAAATTTCTGGTACTTTTAAAAACTTACAATTGTGAGGAAAAATTTTATAGCATATTATTTCTATTAATATTTACTATAGTCTTTTCCTCAAGGCCATGGTACAGATAAAGTTAATGTTAGTGAATTTTTAAAAGTATAGTAAGATAAAATCCAGAAGCCATAAAAGATAAGGTTGATAAATTCAACTACCCAAGAATAATAAACTTAAGCTTGGGGAGAAGCATTGTATCATAAGACTAATGTCAAATTGGGGAGAATGCTTCCAGTTTATACACAGGCAAAGTTAATATCCCTAATATATAAAGAGCTTTTAGAAATTGAGAAGGAAAAAACCCCTTGTCCAGTAAAATAGTCAAAGGACTGAGCAGAAAAGAAATTACATTTCCTTAAGAATGAAAAGTTACTTAACTCATAGTTTAAAAAAATGCAAATGAAAATGATATAAAGTATAATTTTTCACCTACTAGGTTGGCCAACATGGACAAGTTTGACCCTGTAGGTGAGGCTGTGATGAATTCCTATATTTTGCTGGCTGGTGTGGTAAATTGTAACCACAATTATGGGGGTCAATTTGACAGTGCCTTAAAAAAAATGAATGCATTTACCCTCTGAGATGTAGTTCTACTTTTGGGAAATTATTCTATTGAGATGCCAGCACCCATTGTTATTACTCATTATAATAATAGCATTATTTTAGGGTTATTCATTATAGCATTTTTAAATAACAAAATATTAGAAAAATGAAAATATCAGTTGGATACTGGTTCATTAAACTATAGGACATCCTTACAATGTAATTTTGTAAATCTGTACAGAAGATGAGATGGTCCTCAATGTATGGTTTTGGAAGATATATAGATGAGTGAAAAAAACAATGTGCTAAGTAGTGTTTATGGTATGCTACCTTTTATGTAAGAAAAGGTTGACAACAATAACATACTTTATTCTTGCTTATATTTGCATGAAGAAATAATGTGAGATAATATAAGAAAGTAATAAGCAGTTCTTCTGGGGAAGGCAAAAAAAAGAGAGCAGGGATGAAATATGAGAGTATATAATTTATATCAGTTTAACTTTTGACCAGTCGGAAAATTAATGTAAAACATTTATAATCACCTACTATGTTCTAGTTAATATGAGTTAACTTTTAATTTAATGTCATTAATATAAAATTCTTCTCTCTAGACAAGAATACTGCACTGAGGGATGGACTTCTAGTATTCTTCTTCTTAGTTGTTCCCCTTATTGCGTTGGCTGCTTTTGTCTTCTTCAAGAGAAATCAACTACGGCAAAGATGCTTCAGAAAGAAGAGATCACAAACATATGAGTACTTAGATTTTTTTCCTTTTAAATTCATATAATATAATTTATGTAATTATAATGATGATAATCACATCATAGAGGCTGGTTTAAAAATAGTGTTCTAAATTCTCTCTCTATTCTTTGGACATGATTAGCAGAGGTAGAAGGATAGTGATAGTTTAGCTACCTCTTAAAATGATGAGGGGAAAGTATTATGGTAACCAGCTTAAATAGTTCTGAAAATGGCCCTTAGAATTCATTTTGCTTGAGATTGATGTATGATAGTGGGATAAATAGGATTTGGGGCTACAGTTTCTGATTTGAACTTCTTAATTAGAGATTAAAATATGCAATAAAGATTTAAAAGTGTAAATTAAATGTTGGAATTTTTCTTACGTGTTTAAGAATCAGTTCTAACAGAGGAAGAGCTTTTCAAATCACAGTTTGGGGGAAGAGGATTTGTAAATTATAAGCCTTTAAGAAATAAGTTTTGTGGAAGAAAGGGTTGTTATAATTCAAACAACTAATCTATTTAATCTGTGTGTAACACTTGTATTACTATCTCTCACTATCATTTATATGTTGGCAATAGAATGTAGCATAGATAAGAATGGACCTTGTAATCAGCTCTAAATTTAAGTTCCAGTTTGTCATTTGTTAAACTCATGAACTGAAATAACAAAACTCTTTGAATAGAAAAACTCTTATTTTACTTCTTCTAGAATAGCAACAATAATACCTATCTCTTAAAGTTAATGTGCAGATTAAATGAGAAAGTATTAACAAGTAAACCCATAGCACATTAACTGGCACTGTGTAATTACTTAGTAATTAAGTTTTATTATGTTAATGATTTCAAAATATACATATTCTCCTTGATTGCTTACCGTTACTTCATTGCTCTATTTTTTCTCATACAGAGTATCTTCTTAGAGTATCCTGATGTGAGCTTTAGTTTTTAACATAGTCTACAACAGATTTATCTATCTGTTCTTTCTCTTTCTTATACACTTGACTGACCAAATCATGTAATTCCCCAGTCTGCATCTCCGAAATTTTAGCTATCTCCCATACATTTCTTTCTAATTGACTTGCTTTTGCCTCAGTATGTCTGAAACTCAACTGATATATTTTTTAGCTTATCATTTGCTCTTCCTGAACTTCCTAGTTCATAGAGTAACTACTTGAAATTTTGTAGCTTAAGAGTATGCTTTTACTCTTCTGATTTTAGGAAGAATTGAGGAGAAAAGTCAAAGTCTAGTCTCATTGACCAAAACTTTATAATTTCTTAGAATTTCATTTCATTTCATTGTGAAACAGGTTAATAAAACTTTCTAGTACTGTAAGGATAAAAAAATGTGTAAAAGCTGTTAAAAATGGGATAAATTTATCTGTTATCATCATCACCTCTACATCATTATTCTGTTTTGGGGAATATACAAGGTATGCGTAATACATGTAGAAATATTTTAATCTTTGTTTAACTCAAAAGTAATTCTGTTTTTCAGATCAGATGGCAAAAATCAAGGAAAAGTTTCTAGACAACCACCGAGTGTTCCTCGACATGTTTCTCCAGTGACTCCTCCCAGAGGACCTGTAAGTTTAAAATGAAAAGTTGTATTTCTTTACTATTATGATTTCACATTTATTTAAATATATGTTTTTATTGACTTCAGAGAGAGGAAGGGAGAGGGAGATAGAAACAGAACATCAGTGATGAGAGAGAATCACATTGGCTGCCTCCTACAACTTCCCCCTCTCTGAGATGGAATCTGCATCGCAGAAATGTGCCCTGACCTTGTAATCGAACCGTTACTTCTAATTAATGGGGTCAGCCTTAATTACTAAGCCATACCAACTGGGCTCATTTTTAAAATGAAAAAAGAAATTGTCACATCGATTTAGAAATAATTCTTAGGAATTCAAGAATGTGATCTATAGGTCGTCTCTGGGTTAGTAAAAGAAATACCAGTGGGATACCAGAGGAGAGGGAAGACATCTAGATCATAAGAGTACTTTGTTTTGAAACCAAACTGGAAAATGATATGGGTCCCATGCTATCCCTATTTATTTCTATGTCTGCTCTTTTTCTGTTTTCATTGCCTGGCTTCTGTAGGCATGTTACCAAAGACCTGGTATTGGACTGGAACACACTGTCTCAGCAATGGGACCAGTAATCACTCCTCCTCTGAATGTATTAGGAAGTATTGAGATAATGACATACTTTTTCTCATCAGTATATAATCCTAAGACATCCAGTATAATAAAAGGCTATTATACAAATTGTCCCCTCTACTGAGAGTTCGACCAGGAATTCAACCAGGGGGTGGGGCCAGCTGGCCAACCGCCCTTGGCCCCTCCCCCAGGCTGGCTGGCCTGATCAGCCTCTGATCAGGTGGGCCGGCCACACCCTACCCATGCACGAATTTGTGCACCGGGCCTCTAGTATGTAATATTACTTTGTAATTCTTTTCTCTATTTTAAAATTTATTTTAAAATTATATTTATTGAGGGGGACATTGGTTAATAAAATTATATAGGTTTCAAGTGTACAGTTCTGATACATCATCTGTATATTGGCATTGTATGACCACCATTCAAATCAAATCTTTTTCCATCACCACATATTTAATGTCCTTTACCCTTTTTTACCCTCCTACACCCTTCTGTCTGGTAACCACCCTACTGTTGTTTGGTGTCTATAAGTTCTTGATTATTTTTTTTATTTGCTCATTTGTTGCTTTCAGTTTTACATCCCACATAGGAGAATATGATTTTACTTTATATATTTTAAAACTTTGTATAATGTTTTGTTTGATGTTTTACACATTTATCTACAATTTACTTTTCCCTTTAGCATTGCTTTTTGATTTATCCCTATCAATATATGTAGTCCCTGTTCATTCATTTTCAATGTTTATATTACATTATGTAAGTACCACACAATTTAAAAATAAATTTTCCTGTTACCACACAATTTTAAAATCCATTTTCCGATTACCAAATTAGTAGGTAATAATTTACAATTACCAGATTATGGCTGAGATGATCATTCTGTATGTCTTCTCATGTATGTTTGTGAGTTCTGAGACTGCACTGTCTAATAGTATTGGCTATTTAAATTTTATTTTAAATGAAATAAAAATAAGAATTTTATTCCTCATTTCACATTTTAAATGCTTAATTGATCACATGTGACCACTGATTACAGTATTGGACAGCTCAGATAGAGCATATTTTCAACATTGCAGAACATTTTTTTAGAGAGCACTGATCTAGGGTCATATAAGAATTAAATTGTTGAGTTGAAAGAAATGTGAATATTTACTGAAATTGCCAAATTGCTTTCCAAGTAGGTTATACCATGGGATGATTGAATTGTCAGTGGTGTATGAGTATTCCTGCCAACCTACATCTTTGTCAACACTTGGTATTGTCAGACTTTTAAAGTATTTCCAATTTATGTGGAATGAATTGATTAGATATGCTTCCTCATGTTTTATATATATGAAGTCTCTTATACTACTCCTTTTTCCCTAATAAAAAATAAACAAAAATTATGCCCCTTTCTTCCTTAATTATATATATTCAAGATTTTTTCATATCACTACATATACAGCACAATCACACAGTCCCTACATATACAAGTTAGAAATTACATATATGCTCTTTCTTAACCTTGACATATTTTTATTGTAGTAAAATATATATGCTATAAAATTTGCCATAATCATTTTAAGTGTACAATTTAGTGGCATTTACATTCACAGTATTGTGCAGTTATTATTACTGTCTTTTTTGTAAGACTATTTCATTACCCCAAACAGAAATTCTATACCCATGAATCAATAATTTCTATCTCTCCTTCTCTATAAATTTGAGAATACTTTTTCATTTCTGGAAAAAAGACTATTGGAACTTTGATAGCAATTGTGTTGAATCTGTTGATCACTTTGAGTTGACAGATCTTGACAATACTGTCTTGAAACCATGAAGCTAGTTGTCCATTAATTTAGGTCTTGTTTAATTTTTTCATCAATGGGTTGTAAATTTTCAGTGTACAAGTCTTTGATCTTCTTGGTTAAGTTTATCCCTACGTATTTTATTCTTTGGATGCTATTGTAAATGGAATTGCTTTCTTAATTTTAGTTTTCTTTTCATATTGTTCATTGTTGGTGGATAGAAACAAAATTGATTTTTGCATTTTTATTACATATTTTGCATCATTGCTTAATTAATTATCTCTAGTAGCTTTCTTGTGGTTTCTTTGAAATATTCTACTTATATATTGGATCATATTATGAAGTAGTTGGAAATAGAAGTAGTTGTACTTCTTTTTTCCTATTTGAATACCATTTATTTATTTATTTATTTATTTATTTATTTATTTATTTATTGTCCAATTGTTTTGGCTAGAACTTCCAGCACTATGTTGCATAGCAGTGGTTAAAATCAGCATCCTTATATTATTCCTGAACTTAGTGGAGGAAGCTTTCAGTTTTTCTGGCATATTTAAAAATGTCTCCATGTTCTTCCTGTAAAATCTTTCTTGTTGATATTTAGAAATCTTCAAAGCAATTCCTGATAGCTATTTTTACATTTCAGCTGTTGGTAGAGACCTTACATAAGAAATTAAGAAAGACAATCATCTCTCACTTATTTTTAAAAATATTAATATTAGCTATTATTTTAATATATTTGCCTTATATCTTTTCATGTCTCAGCTCAAGATTTTTTGTTGTTATGAGATTTGTATAAAATGTCTCATAGATAATATAGTCCTTTTTTCCGATAGTTTATCTTCATTTGCCTATACAAGTTGGGCCCCTTTTCTCCTCCCCTTTTAGGTTTTTGTGTCACAGAATATTTTTTTAATGACCATGTTTGCTACCAACTTGAATTAGCTACATTTATTTTAAGTGCTCCCCCCTTTAACTTTTTTTTTTAAAATATATTTTATTGATTTTTTACAGAGAGGAAGGGAGAGAGAGAGAGAGCTAGAAACGTCGATGAGAGAGGAACATCGACCAGCTGCCTCTTGCACACTCCCTAACCGGGATGTGCCCGCAACCAACGTACATGCCCCTCACCAGAATCGAACCTGGGACCGTTCAGTCCACAAACCGACGCTCTACCACTGAGCTAAACCGGTTTCGGCCCCCCTTTAACTTTTATGCTACTATAAATAAAGTTTTAATACCCTACTTACAAGTAGAGTTGCCATTTTCTGATTCTGTTTGTCATTAAGCTTTGTGTGCTTTTATATTTTATTTCAGGTAAAAGAGTTGCTTTCAAAATTCTTGTAATGCAGTTCTTATGGTGGTGAACTCTCTCAGCTTTTGTTTGTTGGGGAAAGCCTTTGATTTTTCTTTATCACTGAATGTTAACCTGGCTGGATGATAGAGTACTCTTCACTGGTATTTTTTGCCTTTCATTATTTTGAATATATTATTTCCTCTCTCCTGGCCTTTTTCTGCTGAGAAATCTGATGATAGCTGATGGGGGTTCCTTTGTAGGTTACTATCTTTTTCCTCCCTCGCTGTCTTTATAATTCTTCCTTTATCATTGGCATTTTATTATTTGAATATAAGGTGTCTTAGAGATGGTGTTTTTTTGTTTGTTTGCATTGAGATAATTAAGTTTTCTGTTAGTTTCTTGTACTTTTATGTTCAATTTATTCCCCAACTTTAGGAAGTTCTCATTTGTTATTTAAATAGGCTCTCTCTTCTCTATCTGGGATACCCATTATCTTAGGTTGCCCTTTCTAATAGTCCGATAATTCTCATAGAATGTTTTCACTTTAAAAAGATCTTAGTTCTCTCTGCTCTTCCATCTGAATTATTTCCAATGCTTTATAATACATTCCTCATCCCATTAATTGAGTTCTTTAGTTCTAGATTTCTGTTTGGTTCTTTTTTAGAGTTTAAATCTCTTTGGTAAAGCACTTCTTTTGTTTATTAATTTTATTCCTGAAATCACTGAACTGCCTTTCTGAATTTTTTGCTATTTCATTGAGTTGGTTCATAACAGGTATTTAGAATTCTCTGTCATTTAGATACCAGTCTTTCATCACTTTTGAGTTTGGTTTCTGGAGAATTGTTATTTTATTTTTTGTGATATTATGTTACTGTGATTGTTCATGGTGCTTAATGGGTTGTCTCATTGTGAGTAAGGAGTATGTACCCCATTTTTTTTAGTGTCATAGCATTCCATCTTATGGATTTACCATACATTTAAAAACAGGTTGTTTCAAATCTTTTTACTATAAAAAAAGATGTTTTATGTACATTGATTTTTTACATACATATAACAGAATATGTAAATGCCAAGAAGTAGACTTTATCCCTTTAAAATGCTGTACCTAGGCTTGATGGATGAGGATGGAGACAATTTGTTTTTTCATATCTTCTCTATTTTCATAGTATAAACAAATCATTCCATGGGGAAAAAAAAAATAACAGAACATCTGTCCCATAGCAGGAGCCATAGAATGTGTAAGCTCTTCTTCATCACTGTGCATATTCTGCCACTAATAGAGCTTTAGTAGATAATGGAGACCATCTTAATAAAGAACACTTCACAGTGATTTAACAATTTCATCTGATCTTCCCTGACTTTTTCTAATGTAATGTAATATGTGAAAAATTTTCTTACTTTACTCTCTTATTTAAGGCTGTGTTATAGAGTCTCACTTTGCTGTAAAACTTTCTTTCAACCACCTTGTCAAGGAAGAATATAAGGAATTCCAAAAGCAGATTAGTGGCATTTGTATAATAGTACTATTTAGGTACTGTATAGATTTGGCAATATATTTTTTGGAAGATTTTATTTAAAATATATTGACATAGGAAATGTGTTATGTTTTAAATAATGTAGTTGATTATAATATTTTAGTAATATTGAACTTAAAAATATATAGCCTTAAAATAATTAAGTATTCCATATTCATTGGTAAAGATCTTGAATAAGTAAAATATTTTTAAATGTCAACATTATAAGTAAGTTGTATATTCATTGATTTTAAACATATTGGTTATTTTTATATGGAAAATAACTGAATAGAAAATATATTTATGAGTGCATTGTGGTAATAACTTTTTTCTCCTGTAGAATGTGTATGAAAACAGATTTCCTGTACCAACATATGCAGTGAAGCAGCCTCAGCAGTTCCCATCAAGGTTTGAAATGAATTTGTTTAGATTACTTGACCAGAATGAAATTCAGAAATAATGGCTAATATTTTTCCTTCTATTTTGATTTGATGTAGGACAGGTATTTATTGCTGACAGTATAGATAGTTCATTAATTTAAGAATTATATGTAAGTGTTGTCATTTTAGTGCAGTGTCAAATGAAATTTTTAAGAAGCTTTAGCAAGACAGTAAACTGCTGCTGCAGCCTTTGGTGAATGTACAGTTCAGAAAGAAGGACCTCTGGGAATGGGAAACCAGGATGGTTGGATTAAATACTAGTGAACTTCCAAGGAAACGAGGAATTGTGAGGCTAAGGCCCAGGAGAGGAACACAGTCTGGTGATGATCCCAGCTTTAGGGACCATTTTTCTGTTGTAGATGTGTGTGTCTATAAAGTGAGAAATAAGAGGTTAGGGAGCTGAGGAAAGCTTTCAACAAACGCAGAGAGTTGAAGGGGACAGAAATTGGAGCCCTGCCAAGGATCAGATATCCTAACAAACATCCCAGGCTTTGCATTGCAACACAGGGGTAATAGTGAACTAGATTCTCAACTTATTCCTACAGGGTTTTTTTTTTTGTTTGTTTTTTAAATATTTGCCTCTCCTTCCCCGAGAAAAAGCCAGACATATAAGAAAAGGAAAATGTGACTAAAACCAAGAAAGCAATTAACCTTTAGAATAAGATTTGGAGGGTATCCAGTTAATAGTTATCAGACATGGATTTTAAAATAATTGTGATGATTATGTCATGGAATTAATAGTCAAAATTGAGAATTTAAGCACAGAACTAGAAACTTAAAAAAAAATCAAATTAAAGACTCATTAGATTGGCTTAAAATCAGCAAAAAGGAGAAAATTTATTAACTATTCGAGGCCTGGTGCATGAAAATTCATGCACTGTAGGGAGCGTCCCTCAACCCAGCCTGCCCCCTCTCACAGTCCAGGAGCCCTCAGGGGAAGGCAATGCCTCCATCACACCTCTTCTGCTGCCACTGCCAGCAAGTGCAAGTCTCGGCCAGCCCTGGTTACCTGAACCTCGGGTGGCCCTGGGCGGCTGGGCAGCTGCCATCCGAGGCTTGCCTGTGCCTTGGGTTGGCCCTGGGTGGCTGGGAGTTGAGGGGACTGAGGGACTCTGGAGGCAGGCCTTGCCGCATGCCGCCGCCCTGGCGGTGCTGAGGGGAATGGACGCTGCCATCTTGTGGCTGTGGGTGCTGCCATCTTTGAGGGCATGGTAGTCAATTAGCATATTCCCTCCTCATAGGCTGTGGGTGCCACCATCTTTGAAATAGTGTGAGGGTCAATTAGCATATTCCTTCTCTATTATATAGGATATTTTGTATTACATAAAATGCACCTCACTTCTCACCCCCCCAAAAGTCCTTCAAATTATATTTGAATTGCAACACTGAGGCAATTCAATACAGTACGAGTGTGTTGAAATCCAATTTATCATCAAGGGAAGAATATATAAATCTTGTGAGACATATTCACCAGGTAATGTTGCGTGTTATTGGATTAATGGTATACTACAATTGATCAAAGTGGTTAAGGAAAAGGTATCCACAGGTTAAAGTATGAGGATTGAGAAGGACAGGTATAGAAGTTACAGCCAGTTTAATTCTTAGAGTGGATATGATGTTTGAGAGAGCTGGAATTTCAGTGATGTGCATATATGTAAGATTTATATTTACATAATTTCCTGCCTTTAAATACTAACAGCACAAAGGATGCTTGCTTAATCACATTGTTTCCTCACTTGCTTTTTACTATTTGTCTTTTGAATTTCCTGTGTTTTTCTTTTTATTTATTTATTGATTTTTATTGATTTTTAGAGAGAGAGAGACAGAGAGAGACAGAGAGAGACAGACATTGATTTGCTGCCTCCTTCTGGTCTCCCACTGGGAATCGAGCCTGCAATCTGAGCATATGCCCTGACTGGGAATCGAACCAGCAACCCTTTGGTGCATGGGACAATGCCCAACCAACTGAGCCCTACGGGCCAGAGATGCACTATTCTTTTTCAAACATAAACCAGAACCTCCACACAACATTGTTGATTATTTAATAGCATTAATTTAATGTAAGCATCCATTTTAGACTATATTTCAAGATCTTTACCCATGGCATATCAGATTAATAATAGTCTCAGAATAAAATATATTCTTAAGAATGGTTAATAATGTTAAGGATGATGTTATGTTGGGATTGAAATGAATTGTCATTTTATTCCATCTAAACAAATGATTAACTGTTTTTTCTTCTCACAGGCCACCTCCACCCCAACCGAAAGTATCATCTCAGGGAAATTTAATTCCTGTTCGTCCTGCTCCTAAACCTCCTTTATATAGCTCCCTCACTTGATTGTTTTACCTTTTCTTTTGTTGATATCTTCAGGGAAGCTAATAGTTTTTTTTTCCTGATATTTTCTTGAAAATCCTTTCCTCCTGCTGCAACCATGAATGAAAATAAAACACCGCAAAAACAAACTTTGTTAACACAGAAAAACAAAAATTGAATATTGGGAATTGAGAATTATAAGAAGTTTAACAAAGTCAGGGAATTTAGAATAACATTTTCATTTCTATCACTGAATAAGTTGTATTCAGTCATCTGTGAAGTTAATGTCTCTAACATGGATTGTTATTTTGAACATGTTACTGTAATCCTCAAATTAACTGTATTGATTAAATTTTGTCATTATATGCTTAAATGTAATTATGAATTTTGATCTTAGTTATCATTAATGTAGTTTCAGGTTGAACATGTGATAATCTAATACCTGTGAAAACTGATTAATTTACTGCCAATAATATAAATTTTTCATCTTGCACAGACTAATAATCATCATATGCTAGATTCTTGAATAAAAGTTTATTCTATCTTTGAAAGAATGCACAAATCCCACAATTAAGGTCCATGATATTTTTAAGTACAAAATACAATAAAGGTCTATATGTGTATATTCACACACAGTCATCTTCCATTTTTACGATCATTCTATAGATAAGGGAATCTATTATGGATTCTGTGGATAACAGAATCTGTGGATCTATCTATGGATAATTCATATTAGAAAAATTAATTTAATAGAATTCTATTGTGAATCATGTTAAAACATGACATCCTTTTGCAATAGCATTATTTTAATAAAGTATAAACCTTAAGGTACGAAGTATTTAATAGAACTGATCAGATAAATACTGTTGATTCATGGCTGTATAAAGCAGGAACAATTATATGTTTAATCAGTTGAGCTGTTATAAAACCACTTGATAATTTCATGAGCACTTTAAGTGTAAAATCTGAAACTTCAAAGCTTGCTTTTAATATAATTTAGAATGTTTACATTTACTAAAGTGTGCTGGAACATGTCTTTCTTGACACTAATATTTCCAAAGGAATTAGGCTAGCGAAAGGAAGAAAGGTTTTCTTAGATAAGTGCAAAAATGTTATGTGGTGTCTATAAGTTATCACGACTGTTAAAAATGAATTTTTGCTATGGAAGAAATGTTATGGATGGTAAAATTTTAAGCACTTAAAAATTTTACATAATCTTTCATAATAAAGTTTAATAATAGGTTTATTAACTGAATTTCATTAGTTTTTCAAAGAAAACTTGGTTTGTGTATATATACATATGCAAATATAACATTTACAATAAATTACTTGAAATTCTGTTTGTGTTGCCTAGTAGCTCTCTACTCAACTGTTTATAACCTTACTAGAGGACCAGTGCATGAAAATTCATTTACTGGAGGGGGTGTCCCTCAGCCCGGCTTGCCCCCTCTCACAGTCCCTGAGCCCTAAGGGGTGGGAGGTGACCCAGCGATCATGGGAAGGTGATGCCCCCAACACACCTCTGCTGCTTTCACTGCTGGCAGTGCAAGCTTCTACACACCTCTGCTGCTTTCACTGCTGGCAGTGCAAGCCTCTACACACCTCTGCTGCTTTCACTGCTGGCAGTTCAAGCCTCTACACACCTCTGCTGCTTTCACTGCTGGCAGTGCAAGCCTCTGCAGGCCCTGGTTACCTGACTCTTGGGCCCATCTGAGGTTTGCTTGTGCCTCAGGCGTAGGCTGGGCAGCTGCCATCTGAGGCTTGCCTGCTCCTCTGGCTGGCCCTGGGGGATGGGGGACTAGGGAGACTAGAGGACTCCGGGGGCAGGCATGTGGTGTGGCCGGACCTACCTGGAGAGGGGCCTGGCCATCCCATATGCCTGCTGTCCCAGTGGGGCTAAGGGAACTGGGCACCACCATCTTGTGGCTATGGGTGCTGCTATCTTTGAGGGCATGGCAGGCAATTAGCATATTCCCTCATTGGCTGTGGGCATTGCCATTATTATATGAGGGTGTGATGGTCAATTAGCATATTCCCCTTTTATTAGATATGATTAAAACTTATAATTAATTATATCATGCTAAACTACTGTACTAGTCAATCTTTTACAGATATTTAACTAATTTTTTAGACTTCTTTCAAATTATATACAACTAGAAGTCTGGTGAATGGAATTCATGCACTCAGCCCAGCCTGCACCCCCTCACAGTCCAGGACCCCTCGGCGGATATCCCTCTGAGTTCTGGACCCCTTGATTCTTAACTGCTCATCTACTCACTGCTCCTTAGCACTTGGCTCACTGCTCCTTAATGTTGCTTCAGAGGTAGGAGATGCTCCTGCCATCACCATTACGCTCACCAGCTGTAAGCCCAGCTTCTGCTTGAGCAACACTCCCACTGTGGGAGCACACTGACCACCAGGGGGAAGCTTCTGCATTGAGTGTCTGCCCCCTGGTGGTCAGTGTGCACCATAGCAACTAGTCATTGTGGTCATTCTGACTTAACAATCACTTAGGCTTTTATTATATAGATGTTATTAAAGGAAAAGTTTTGAGGAAGACATATTTCAGTTCTCTGAAAATAGTACATTTATTTTAACAATCAGATATACATTAAAATTATAAAAAATGTCAATGAAGAATCTTCATTTCAATTTAAATCTCTGAATAAATTCATATAAGACTGAAATATTTGTATTTTTCAATCAATGATTTTCTCTCATTGATGTTTCTATAACTAACTCCCTCCCCCTTCCTCTTTGAAATCAATAAAAATATATTAAGAACAAAAACACCGCCTGTGTGACTTGGTGGTTGGGTGTGGACCATAAACCAGGAGGTACTGTTTCAATTCCCAGTCAGGGTACATACCTGAGTTGCATGCTTGATCCCCCTAGGAGACATTGTAATCCAAGGGAATAAGCCAATGTTCATTCAAGAAAGACGAGAAGTCCTGGTGGTTAAAGCATTGTGGGTAGGAGAAACTAGGTGGCAGCCTGGGTTCTGAAAGCAGAAATGATGAATACTGTTCTGATGAATTTGGCTAGGATTTTCTACTGGAACATACATACTGTGACTATAGACGAGAATCTTGTCCATTTCATTCCCATCACAGAAGAAATGATAGAACTGAAAAGTTACTAAATAAGAGAATGACATCACATGAATGGGAGCCAAGGCCCTGGGGAGAACCAGAGAGATTGGAAGAAAGAGTAGTCTGGTTGCAGAGTGCTTTTGGACAGAAGGTCCAGGAAAACCACACACACACACACACACACACACACACGCGCGCACACGAAACAAAAACCCTTGCTCTTCCCAAAGATATCAAAACCTCACTTTTCCTAATCTTGGAATCTTGTTTTGTTTTAGAAACCAATTAGTTTCTTTTTGTTTGCTCTTAAAGAAACCCAGCTTTAGTAAATGTGAATATGTATATTAGCATTCTTACAGTTTTGTTAAATTTTCATTTTTTTTTTAACATTACACTTTTTGGGGTGACCGTGGTTAATCAGATTATGTAGTTTTTAAGTGTACTCCATGGTACATCATCTGTGTGCCCACCACCCAAAGTCAAACCTTCCCTCACTATCTGTTTGACCCCCTTTGTCCTTTACGACTCCCCCCACTCCTTCCCTGTGGTAACCACCATACTGTTGCCTGTTGTTTATGAGTTTTTGTTTTACTTGCGTGTTCACTTGTTGCCTTCAATTTTCTATCGTATGAGGGGAAGTCATACGATTCTGAACATGTTCTGCCCTTCATTCTGCTGACATTCTCAAAACTCATCCATGCTGTCACACACGGCCTATGTCATCTTTTCTCAGAGCAGAGCAGTATTCCGTGGTACACGTGGACCACATCTTTGCCCGGCCACCTGGAGCACGGTTTGAAATCCAGAAAGTGTGGCCCTTTCCAAGCATCCGGACGTGTCTGATACAGAACAGCACAGAGTAACCGGGTCAGTTCTCTCAGTCCATGGACGGGAAGGGACTGGTGTTTGGGGGTTGACCCCCGGGGAGGAAGCGGCTGGGCTGGAGAACTAGGAGACTGGGTTTAGGGTCCGGCTGGTCTTAACACGGAGGGCACTTCAATGGGCGTGGCGGCCTCGCGAGATGAGAACGCGACCCCGCCAACGTGCGCGAGGAACGTGCGGGGAACGTGCAGAGGGAACGTGCGGGGAGAACGTAGTGGAGGGGGGGGGGAGAACGTGCGACGGAGGGATCGTGCGGGGAGGGAACGTGCGGGGAGGGAACGTGCGGGGAGGGAACGTGCGGGGCGCCAACCGCCGCGTCCTGAGGCCTCAGACCCGCCGGGAGCGGGAGGAGCAGCATGCTCCGCTCGGTGCTGCTGCTGGCGGGCCTCGGCGCTCTGCTCAGGTGCAGCCCGGGTAAGTCGGGGCGCCCGGCCCCGTCCCAGCGGAGGAGGGGCTTCCCCTCCTTCTGCCCCCGGGTCCCACCGGGGCCGGACCCCACGGAAAACCCGGTCCCGGCCGGCCACCGGTTTCCTTTGCCCTGCCCCCTGGAAGCTGGGCGCGTCGGGCCTTTCCAGTGACTCCTGCGAGCGCAGATCATCTCACTGAGCTCAAGACAAACCCTGACTCTCCAGGTTTGCCTTTGGCCTTTCGTGTAGGTCAAACTGCGGGCCCCCCCCCTCACCTCCCGACCCTTCCCCCAAAACTCTCCAGAACCCACTTGCCTCGGCTCCCGGAGGCCATGGCAGACCATCTGTTTCCTCGCTTCCCCCCCAAACTGTAATGCCTGTTGCACCCCTTGGCCTGTGGCCCCCTTTCCCCGTGTTTAAAGCCAGGAGCGTTGGGTTGGGGGTCTCTGGAGTTCTCTCTCCTGCTCCCCCTCTTCCACTGGTCAAGTTCCTTCTCATTTGAATTCAGGTCCCAGATCATCCAGGATAATCTTTATAATTCTCAATTACAGTTTGCCACGCATTTCTAGATTTACAGGTTCCTGGGATTAAAACATGGACATTTTGGGGAGGTTAAATTCTAGCTCCCATCGAGGGTGGTGGT